TGGCATTCAAGTATGTAATCCTTGTGAGTCTTTCCATCTGGAACATTCCATTGTGTACCGTCTGATGTGACAGCTATTGGACACTTAAAAATAATAAGCACTTATTAATATTTTTCTATTGATTATAGGTTGAAATGATAGTATTTCAGATATATTAAGTAAAATACACTAATATTATTAGAATTAATTTCATCTGTTTTGTTTTATTTTCTTTTACTGTGGCTTCTAGAAAATTTAAATTACACATGTGGCTCACAATATATTTATGTTGTCCAGTGCTGTTCTATAATGTCTGTGCAAAACAATTTTGAGACTAAAGTCTGAATGTTCAGCATTACATGTAGTGATCATGCCTCATGTGTACTTTTAATTTGCGTGTGTGGACATATAAACTCTTGCACACCTACATATACACAAGGCATCTTTTTAAAAAACAATATACCATAAGGCATATTTCTTCTCCTTCCTTAGCTATCAGGCAGTGTAGTACCACCACTGGTCTAGGTTATAACATTTAATTTAGAAAAATAAAAGCTTTGATTTAAATTATGTATCACTGCATTAATAGATGACCTTTGTGACATTACTTAGCTTTGGGAAAAAAATATATATACATTCCATTGATGAGCTGTGCATTGCTTAGGTATTAAGGAGTGAGATAAGAAAAATAAAATAAAATTTTTAAAGTGAAAATCAAACTCTTTTGGGTCAGAAAACAACATTGTGAAGACATGCACACATTCACTAACACAGCGTGTGTGTGTGTGTACAGTGAGTGGAGTTAGTGAGGCTTCTGCAGCACTGGGATGGCTCTGGTCACTTTAGTGTTCCTGATATGCTGTAGGTTCATTTTTCTCCTGTTGTTGTAGTTCAGTCGCTAAGTCACATCCAACTCTTTGTGACCTCTTGAACTGCAGCAGGCCAGGTGTCCCTGTTCGTCAGTATCTCCTGGAGTTTGCTCAAAATCATGTCCACAGTCAGTGATACCGTCCAACCATCTCATCCTCTGTCATCCCCTTCTCCTCCTGCCCTCAATCTTTCCCAGCATCAGGGTCTTTCCCAATGAGTTGGCTCTTCATATCAGGTGGCCAAAGTATTGGAGCTTCAGCTTCAGCATCAGTCCTTCCAATGACTGTTCGGGTATCCAATATGCTACTGGGAAAGAGTGTAGAAATATCTTCAGAAAGAATGAAGAGGTTGGGCCAAAGCATAAACAAGGCTCACTTGTGGACGTATCTGGCTGTGAAAGTCTGATGCTGTAAAGAGCAATATTGCATAGGAACCTGGAATGTTAAGTCCATGAATCAAGGCACGTTGGATATGGTCAAGCAGGAGATGGCAAGAGTGAACACTGACATTTTAGAAATCAGTGAACTAAAATGGACAGGAATAGGCAAATTTACTTCAGATAGAGACTATGTCTACTACTGTGGGCAAGAATCCCTTAGAAGAAATGGGATAGCCTTCAGATTCAACAAAAGAAATGCAATACTTGGGTGCAACCTCAAGAACGACAGAATGATCTTGGTTCATTTCCAAGGCAGCCGTTTTTCTTCTATATTAACAACTTTTCTTCACTTTTAAATTATTTTTCTTCTGATAATTTACCCTCTCCTACAATTATTTGTATGCCCAGGAACACAATTTTCTTTATTAAATACTATAAGCTGATTAATTTTCCTCTTCATTCAGAATCTTTGCAGAGCCTCCTATGGGCAAAGCACTGTCATGCTCACTCTAGGAAACACAAAGATGATTTGGACTCAGATCTTAACCTGTCTTTACTTGTTAAGAAACACTCCAGATATATAGAATATAAATATGTAAGTGTGGAAAACTTGGGGTTGGGTCCAAGATTAATAATAGGTATCACTGTGTCTCAGTACTGGGTTTCCTCCTGTTTGATTGTGTGACCTTGAACATGTAACTTAATCTCTCTGAACCTCAGTTTCTTCATCTATAAAACAGATCTGATACCAATTGTGCTCTGCATAGAGGATGTGTGAAGGTTAGAGAAAATCTATTTAAAAGGACCCATGCTAAGCCTGACGGGGAATATGTTCTCAGTGATTGTGAGCAGTAGTTTTATAATTATGGCTGTAGCTATGAAAGACAAGGGCTTCCCTTGTGGCTCAGCTGGTAAAGAATCCGCCTGCAATGCTGGAAACCTGGGTTCGATCCGTGAGCTGGGAAGATCCCCTGGAGAAGGGAAAGGCTGTCCGCTCCAGTATTCTGGCCTGGAGAATTCCATGGACTGTATAGTCCACGGGGTCGCAAAGAACTGGACACAACTGAGCGACTTTCATGCTCCACATGAAGACAGGAGAGGCATTTGAAGTATAAATAAGCATGCTGGGGATTTTGGAGCATAGGTAGTGTAGACTGTTTTCCCTCAGTTTCTGGGAAAGATTGAATCTCTCCTCATATCAAAATTTGCAGCTGCTCAAATTCCTTGTATGAAATGGCATCGTACACTCAGCCCTTGGCATCTGCCGGTTCTGTGTTTCTCAGATTCAACCACTTGCAGATTCGGTGGACACGCTATACTTCTGTTTGGAAAAGAAAGGAAAACTTTGCATAGAATGTGTGGAATTTGGTTCAGACAAGGGAGAGTTTGCATAAATGCCACTGATGGTTGGGCCTTTCAGATGGAGGAACCAGCATGGGTTGTATGAAACTTTTCACGCAGAGGATCGAATCATTAAGTAGGAATTTGAAAATAAGTTGTTTATTTTTAGGCCAGGAAGTAGAATTCAAGTAGAAAGGAAAGACTGAAAGTAAGGTTTTCTTAAGAAAGCATTTTGTCTATGTGATCTTCCATAGAAATATGATCTTTATTTCCACTGTGTGATGGATGTTTACTGCTAGGTACTCAGATTCACAGTAGTAGTGGTTGTGTATTGCATAGATTTGGGTTGGTATGGCCACTCATGGCTACTCTTTATTTTCATTCTAAGTTACAAATAACCCGGAAGCACTGTTGACATCTTTGTAGTTTATTAAAGACATTTTCAAATTTCCAGCTCTCTGCTCCAAATTAGTAATTAGGCTCCTCGCATGCTTCTGCCAGCCAGCTACCAACTTCTAGAACTTCAGTCCTCCAACAGAGTCTCCTTTTCATCCAAAAGTTCTTTCCCAGATCACAGCTTTCTGAACTCAAAACAATTTCTTAATCTCACTGTAACTATTTGTCATGTGGTCTCCTAATATAATAGATAAGAGGGCTGAGTCCTGTTAGTTCTATAATTTATTAGCAGTATGATCTTGATAACTTACCCAACCTCTTTGAGCTCATAATAGAGATAGTCATAGTGCAGGCTTCATAGTTATGTAATGGAATAACGTATGTGAAACACTTCACACAATAGTTGGCTCCTAATAAGCCTTCCAAAATCTTACTGTCCAGTGTTAACGACCTTTAGTCCTTTGACACATGTATTATCGTCTTATCAACTTTTTCCTGTCTTCATTTCTTTTATCACCTAGACATCTACCTGCTTCTCTGTCTTCAATACATCTCTTATTAGTACCCTCAGGTCTCTGGCCATCTGATGTGTTACATCCCCCCAGACAGGCTGTAACCTGGACTCACTCACACATCGTCACATCCTTTCCTCTGATCAGGATGTTGAGATGACAATGGGAAAAATCACCTAAACCTTGGCCGTGATAAATTAACACAGTCCTTCCTCAGCTCTTGACTCGGAGCTTAGTCCTCCTGTGATCTCTGTGTAACCTTCCTTTTCCCTGTGGACAGTTCAAAGCTGACAGCTGATTGCAAAGCTCTTCCTAGCCTCCACCGTCTTCACTTTCAGCGGTGGCTTCCCTTCCACCTCAGAGACAGAAGTGAGACCTTCCAGTATTCAATCCCTTGTCCTCTTGCCTCTCCGTCTGTAGACTAATCTTCACCTCCTCCCATCTCCTCTCCAAGGACTCCCTAAGAAGTAGAGCTGGATCAGTTGCAAAGCCTTATTAACATACCTATTTGTTGAACACAGAGAGTGCTTATTGCTGTAAGAAAAGAGATGCAGCCCTCATTAGATTTAAAGTTGAAGAAGCAAGTTGAAATAATTTAAATATGAAAATCAGTCTAGAAGGTATTGAAATCTCAAAAGTATAAGATATTTTCATTCTATCCCCAGCTTATACATAGTAGAAAAATTTTAAATGGTAGGAAAATTACAATTCAAGTAAGTTGAATTATAATATTGTTAATAATGTTATTGAATATTAATTTTAGCCATGTGAATGTCTTCCTGGTCCATAAAGACAGTGAAAGAATATTTTTTCTCTCTTTCTCTGTGTGTATACAGACATACAAATATATAAAAACAAGTATATGTATGTATACATACACTTTTGAGTATATATGCATGTGTGTATATATATGTGTGTGTGTGTGCATATATGTGTTTGTATATACATTCTTTTGTTTATCTATGCATTGGATTCTAATGCCTGACTCTGCCGCAGATACACCTCAAATGTTCTAGTTACATAATGCAGTGATACATTCTCTGTGTGCTTAATGCCCTTGAAAATCTCAGCCTTTCTGATAGAATATTCTGCAGCAATATTCTTAAGGGAAGTACTCATCTCAGATTTTCAAGGACGAACCAAATGTCAGATATCCTGATCCATTCATTGTTTGATTATTGGTTGGTTCAGTAATCACTTTCTGACTGTCTGCCAGACCAGGAATGGTTCAGTGGCACTTAGGTACAAAGGTAGATAAAAACAATGTGATTTTATATGCAGAATTATTCAGAAAAACTGCAGAGGAAAAAACATAATTCAGAGTGGAGTTATCAGGAAGAGCGTCACAGGGTCAGATTTGCTGAATTTTGGTTTGGAAATTTAATTCATCCAGTGGATAATTTCATATCTCCTGGTTCTGTTCACCTTTACCCAAACTCCAAACCCTCCTGCAGAGGATACAGTTATAAATGCTTTCTTTTTTTTTTTTGGTCAAACCCCACCCATGGCATGAGGAATCTTAGTTCCCCAACCAGAGATCGAACCTGTGTCCTCTGCGTTGGAAGCACAGAGTCTTAACCACTGGACCACCGGGGAAGTCCCAAAAGTTCATTTCTGAAATAGAGATTCTAGTGCACCAGGAGGACAGGTATTGTACACTAGTTAGTACATAAGTCATTTTATTATGGAAACGTCTACATTTGTTTTGCTTTTGTTCTAGATAGGGAAGTTTCTCTCTGTGTTTTCTTCTGCCTTTCCCATTTAATTCTAACCAGTGCCTTGTCTACCCAATCTCTCCCATTAGTAATTGATGGCTTTGCTTCTTTTTAATTTTAAAGACCTGGGGGCTCCTTCCTTTAGTTGCAGAAACCTAATTTCCACTGGTGGTTTAAAGGTCTGGCCTGTCCTCCCAGCCGTGTGCTGGCGCAGCGCTCAGGCATGAAGGGATCTTAACCAGCTTTGCTGTTCCCTGAATACCCTGTGCATGCTCACTGCTCAGGTCAGGGCAGGGGGAGCCTGGCGATCCACAGGTCGAGATCGCAGGGCTGCCTACCCACAGGCTAGTTTAGTCTTGGCCCTTTACCCAGTTGCATAACCTCGGGGACTTTTTTTCCTTCAGTTTGCTCATTGGAGGTCTATAATTCTCTTCTGCTGCTCCTATCCCTAGAAAGCAGCTATATGAATTCCTATTTTGTCAGAATCTTCATTTTATGCAACAGGAAACATTTTGATTTCCTCTTGGTTTCTGAAATACCAAGCTTACCTGGATTCCCTCCTCACTGCTGTGCCTTCTTAGGCTCGCAACTGGCTGCTTCTTGCATATGTGATTCCAGAAATTGAAGTGTCCCAGGGCCTCTTCTTTTATGTGTGTGTGTGTGTGTAAAATGGTATCTAATTTTTTGATTATTTTAATATTTTAGTTTTACTATTTAATTGTGATTAAAGTCACATAATTTAAAACCTATTATTTTAACCATGTTAAACTGTACATTTCAGTGGCACTGAGCACATTTCCGTTGTTGAGCAACTCTCTCACCGTCATCCACCTCCCAAAGTTTTCACCTTCCTAAACTGAAACACAGTTCCCATCAAACACTAACTCTCCATCCCGCCTCCCCACACCCCCAACCCCTAGTCCCTGGAAACTACGCGTGTACTTTCTGACTCTGTAAATCTGAGGATTCTGGGTATCTCAAACAGTATTTGTCTGCATCTTGTCCTTTGTATATATAATTCAAAGTGTTTATTTGTGTACGGCTGCCCTGGGTCTTCATCGCTTTGCGCGGGCTTTCCCTGACTGTGGCGGGCGGGGTCACTCTTCCTTGCGGAGTGCGGGCTTCTCCTTGTGGCGGCTTCTCCTGTGGAGCACGGACTCCAGGGTGCGTGGGCTCAGCAGTGGCCCTCCAGCTTAGTTGCTCTGCAGCAGGTGGAATCCTCCCGGACTAGGGCTCAAACCTGTGCCCCCTGCATTGGCAGGCAGATTCTTATCCACTGCCCCACTTGGGAAGTCCTGCACTTTATTCTTATCACCTACTTTTTTCTATGTATTCCCCCCAATGCATTTACCTAATTTCCTGGCTTCAAGTACTGTATGTATGCTGATGACCAACAGATGTACTGATCTAGTTCTGACCTCTTCTTTGAGTTCTAGACTTATGTGTCCAGCTGCCTGTTCTACATCTGCACCCGATGTCTGATAAGTATTCCAGCCTTGCGTGGGTGCATGCTAAGTCACTTCAGTCCTGTCTGATTCTTTGCGACCCCATGGACTGTAGCCCTCCAGACTCCTCTGTCCATGGAATTCTCCAGGCGAGAATCCTGGAGTGGGTTGCCAGTCCCTTCTCTAGTGGAATCTTCCCAACCCACATCTCTTACATCGCCTGCTCTGATGGGTTGGTTCCTTACAACAAATGTCTTAGGAATTAAAGATGTGCTGGGCACTTGAGGCTGTGGCAACAAAGGCGAGCAAGACAAGGTCTCTACCTTCAAGGAGCTCATAACTTGGTAATGAGGGTGGACACCATCTCAGCAAGCTCGGGCTGCCATCACAAAATGCCAGTCTGGGAGACTTAAATAGCAGACATTCATCTTCTCATAGTCCTGGAGGCTGGAGGTCCAAGACTGGGTGCCAGCATTGTCGCCTTGTGGTGGGAGCTCTTTTGCTGGTCTGTGGATGGTCATCTTGCTGTCCCTTCACCTCTTTGTGGACAAAAAGTGCCCCCTGCCATATCAGAGGATGCTGCTGCCCTCAAGTAATCAGCCATCGAAACAGGAACCTCCTCCCCCTCCACTCCCTGACTGTGCACGCTGGGGGGCAGGATAGAGAGAAACCGGATACTTGAGCAAATATTCACATTTTCTCGTACAGAGAAAAGTGGTAAAATCATGAACTTCAGATGTTTGGTTTTCTTTAATTAACAGTAATTTTTGACATTCTGAGTACCTGGATTTTTTTTTTTTTTGCAAAACACCCTACATATCCTGACTCTTCCTTTGCCTCTTGGAGCAGCCCTCAGAGCAAGCTGAGAGATTGTCTCCTAGGTTTAAGTCCTCAGGAAGCTCGTTGGGTTAGAATATAATTCTCAACTTTTAGTTGTGCTCTTATTTTCCACTTGACACATGTTTTTTCTGTACATACATTTGGAAAGAAAGAGATTTCTCTCTCTTCCTCTTATTAGACTACTAATTCTATCAGATAAGGACCCCACTTTTATGAACTCATTTAATCCTAATTACCTCCTAAAAAAACCAACTCCAGATATAGGTCACACTCGATAGAGTTATGGTGGTCGGGGTGAGGGGCATGACTCAATCTGTAGCAGATTCATACCCAGGTCCTTGGGATATACCCACAGATAAAACACAGGGTGCTGGGGGCACAGACAGGCAAAGAGGGTGTGAGTGGGGTGGGCACACCAGGAACTTCCCCAAGTATTGATGCTGGGCCGATGACAAGAGCCTGGCAAACTGGTGTTTTTCATAAACCTTGAGTGTCTACAGGTTAGAGGGGACAAAGGACCTCCAATCACAGAAGTCTCTCCCACTGGCGTCAGCACTGACTTGGATGGGACAGGCAGAGGCTTCGTTATTTCTGTGGTTTATTACAGCAGGGCTGAAACTTGGAGGAAGAAAGCTCCTTTGTTTCATCTTAGGATTGATGTGATCTGTCTGGGGTACCTGTGGTTCTCGAACTTAACATATCTCATGTGCCCATGAGACGGACTCCCCACAACCAAGAGCACTGTTGTTTTCTGGTTGCTGCTGGAATGCTAGATGCAGTCCCTGGTTCCCTTGTACCATGATATACCCTGAGCATTGTGGAGAAGATGGATCTGGGGTCTACAAGTTAGTGGTGATCACTTCCTCCAGCCAAGCTGAGGCAAAACTGCCTTGTCTGTCTTTTTGTCCTCTTGGCTCCCCTTCTGAGTAACTTGCATATTACTAAAAATGAAAATCACCAAAATAATGTTACTAAGTCCAAACTTGTTCTACTCACCACAAAAGGCCAATAAATCAGCAGATGTTGGGACAAGGAGTAATGACTTTATTTGGAAAGCCATCAAACTGAGAAGATGGCAGACTAATGTCCCAAAGAACCATCTTGCTTGAGTTAGAATCCCCTAAAAGGGGATTCTATGTTGTTGGTTGCTGTAAACTTCTTGGCGTCAGAATCCTTTGTTCTTGCTGCTCTCCCCATAGGTCAGATCACGATGTTCCTGTAAACCTCCAACAACACAAAATGTTGTTCTCTATTGTGCAACTCTGTTATCTCTGTTTGAATGGAAGACTGTTAGATCTTTAAAGGTCGGAGCCTCGAGAATGGACTGTCCTGTATATTTCAGGCTACAGGCCACCTTCTTTTACAAAAAGCACAGAGCCAGCATGACTCAGCACAGGCCACAGGGCACAAAGTTTAAAATAAAAGAAAAAGGTCTGAAATGGAGTCAGGTTTGTTCTTCCATACTAAAATTAGGCTAAGCATTTGTTAGTATTTTCTCATGCATTTGCTCACTTTTTTATTCTCATACACCTACCCTGCAAGGAAAATAATACTAGTCTTGTTTTTCAGATTCACAGAGGAGCACTCAGACTTCTTAGAGTATTTGCCTAGAGCAGCCTCCAAGCCCACCGTCTTGTCTCCATGTCACATCGTCCTAGGGCTGCATGCGACCCTGCTGTGCTGCCATGGGGCCAGCTGCTCAGATAACAGCTGTTAATCTCCAGCTAGCTCCTTCTGTTCTATCAGGGGACCTCCCGCTGTCTGTGTAGTATCCCGTGGTTATAAAACTGAGCAGGACCCTATGGGAGCCGTTTGACTGGTCCCTCCCTACCCCCAAGTCCTCAGCCTGCCTTTTGTCTGTAGAAAGACTTTGGTCAAAGAATAAGTTTAATCAGAGAAATGAGAAAAACACAGAAACAAAGGAAAAGCACTCAAATAAGACCAAATAATAATTTAGTCATTAAAGTCAGGGATGTTTAGTTCCTCCTCAAGGTCTACAGATAATATCCTGAGCATATCCTGGGAGCCGGCCTGTAGATACTGAAACCCCCACCGGGTGGAAGAAATTAACTACATGATGCCCAGACCTAGGGCCATGACCTCAGCTGCCACAGTTACAAGAACTGGCCTCGAAGAAATGGGAGCAAACCGACCCTGCAACTGAAGGGTAAATGTACTTAAAACAATCAAGATGGTGCTGGTCAGGCCACTGATGACCGAGTTCAAGATGGCCATCAAAGCTGATGGTGATGTTCTACATGTAGCCCCTCCCCTTACACACTCCTGAAACTCCCCTTTAAAAGCTCTCACCCACTGACTAGCTATGGAGTGTTGGCTTTGGGGCCCAAGTCTGCCCTCTCCCTGGTTGCCAGCCTCCAGAAAGGAAAAAAAAAGCAAGATTTCCTTTCCACCAACCTTGCCTCTTAGTATTGGCTTTCCAGCAGTGAGCAGCCAGGCTCGATTTCATTACTAGAGTGTCAGTCCCCCAGCCGGACAGAGGGCTCCCTGAAGCCACACATGCTGTTTGATTTGTCTTGCTGCTGAGCCCTAAACATAGAGTTGGACAGGTTGGAGGGAAGCTGTAAATGTTTGTCAA